TGCTTCATTTGTTTCTTTCCCTATTATTTTCTTTAACACCGAAGTGACTGAAGGACCTAAATATCTGGGGAAAGGGTGGCTGTTGGAGAAAATTCTTGGCTTGCACAAAGTTTAGAACTTAAGACTGCATTTTGCAGATCTTCATCAGCAAGGGAGCAAATACTGAAAATCCAGAGAGATAACCTATCTTTCAAATTATTGTAACTCACCCATTTTTTGGAAGCTATTAGTATTGGTAACTCTTAATCACCTTTTTTTTTGCTAGTACCAGATTTCACTTACCTGAAGCAATTCTCACTTGTCCTTGATGCAGACATACACCCAAATTTATATCATGTTAAGATGTAGGTAGACTCTGTTTACAGCACTCCTCTTATTTATTCTCAATTTACATAGGATTGGTAAACTGAATTTTGCTTTGAATTTTTCATTTCACATGGCCTTAGACTGCAGCTGAAAACTGCAGTTTTCTTCAATTTAAATGACAACCAAAAGATGAGTTTTGGTTTAATTTTTTTTAATGGGGGGGGTAGGGGAGTTTATTAGGTGTGCAATTATTTGCATGCTTCCAAACAATATTTTCATCTGTGTTTGTCTCAAATATTGGCCTCAGCTTGCTAGAAATAAAAGCCCCAATCACTTACTGGAAAACCAGCTGTACTTATTTAAATCTCAGTCTGAACTTGCCTGAAATCTAGTTCCAATTCCTTTTGAAGCCTTGTTTGGGACTTCCAAGTTCTTAAACTATGACCACTCTTGGGACACTGATTTTGCATGCTAAACATGGGGCTTGTACTTAGGTTCAAAATTCAAACCCATTCTCCTATTTATGTGGACAAAATATTGGAGCCCCTTTGAAATTCCAGGTTCAAATATATACTGAACACTTGCAGAGCCACCATCCTCCAATACCCATATGTATCATTTCAATGGCAGGGGAACCTCTCGCTTAAAATTCTGCACGTTTGCAGATTAGAGCATGATGATGTGGTCTGTCCTATTGCAGTGAAGCTCCTGATTGAGATTCCAGCCCAACTCCAGATGTGCTGGCATAGCAGCAGGCTCAGCTCTGTGTGTCAGACTGGCTGCTCTGCACCACCTCGTGCTGCCAGCCCGGGACATCAGCAGGGCACCACAGGGGCTGCACCCAGCTGGCACAGTCACAGCCCCCAGACTGCAAATGCCACAGGAGTCGGCCCTGACTTGCTTTTAACTGTAGGCATTTTCACTCTTTTTACCTCAAACTGCAGAGTGAATCAGGAGAGATATCCCCTTTTCATAGCCACCATTTACATGGAAAATAACATGAAGGACAGGATTTCTTCGTTTCAGCTGCTTTGACTCAGTAAAGGAAATGCTCTGTTTGAGTAATGGCATCCTTAATCAGCCTAGCCCTTGCACACACTTCAAAATACCTTGAAGTTAAACCAGTGCTGAAGTCAGGCCTTTGTTAAGTTTAGCAGCCAAACAAGAAAGGCAGTCTAGCTGTGTTGACATAATCCATTATTTCGGTGAGGCCTGTGAGACATAAAACAGGTTTGGAAACCGAGTATCTTCACAACAGACCAGGTATTCAACATATCAGTAAATTTAAGCTATTGGATTTTGTTGTAGGTACAGCACTCCTTTCATAAATATTAAAATATTATTCAGTACTGAAAGAATTCACATCAGTCACTTCCAATCACAAGAAATAAAAAAGGGAAGATAAACATTAACCAAATATATTCTTTCATGAGTGTTTTATTTGAATTTATATCATATTCACAAAAATAGAAACAGTCTTTAGAACCATTTTGTGAATACATTGTCTCCAAGCTGAGATTTACAATGGCAATAGTGAAATATCTAACTTGGATTTGTTTCCACATGTAGACATTGAAGACGATGCTGTGAGAAGCAAGCAGGAATTATGCAATGTGCTGCAGAAAGAAACATGAAAATGTAACTAAACATTTTAATGTCTATGTAGTTCAACAGCCTACATACAGTTTCTCAGGATGTTTTTAGAGCAAGTTGCTCTAATTTTGTGCAGAAAATATTGAGAGTGCTCATGCCAACCCTTTGACGTTGTGATTTGCATCTGACTGTATAAATACAATATACTTTCCTATCTAGAGCTTTATACATACGAAAAATTATGGTACAATAAAAATCTATACACATGGTGCTACCAGTTCAGCAGCTGCTAACTTAAAGGATACATCTAAAAATATGATTGCTCAGCCTCTGAAACACAAAATAAAAGAGCAATCAGAAATGCTTTTTGTTTAAATAGCAATTTACATAAAAATTCATCTCTTCATTTTCTCCGTTTGCTTAGGTCTGGTAAAAAGACTCTCTTTGGTTGGTTGCATCTGTCCTTGGCAAGAACTGTAATTTTAAACAGTCCTTTGTGTTTGTCTTAGGCAAAGGTTTGTAAAACAGAGTAAATGTTGGCTGGCTTCTATTCCAACTTAGTGCTATTGTAATGCTGAATGACAAGTACCTACAACACTGCAAAGTTCTGCAGAGTGGAAACAGAAACTTGCATGATTTCCATGTGCTGAAAGATGTGACAGTGGAAGACCATTTATACTGCACCCCAACGTAAACACTCTCTCAATTTATACAGAATGCTTCTAAGTACAGTTTTATCTTTCAAAACCTTTTAAAAGCAGGTTTAGCTGCTGCTCAGCAACCAAGTGGTGACACGCATATATCGCAGGTTCATTTTATCTCCCAAGAAATTTTGTGAGAGATCAAGTAGAAAGCAAATTCAAGAATTATTACAATCCATTACTATAAGATAAATGTTAACCTAAGATAGAGTACAACTGCATTGCAGATTTGTGATGGTACCACTGATCTCAGATTTTCACCCAGGGTGTGGAGGTGGTGTGAAGAGCATAGAGCAAAGGGCTACAAACAACCATCAGGTAAGGGGAAGAAATGGTATTAGGAGCAAAGTGAAAGTGCTCTTCTTATCTGGTGGCCTGATCCTTTTTATATGAACTACAAAATGATGTTAAAGGAAGTGAAATGTAGCAAATCAAGCTAAAAAATGAAATTATTGAGTTTGCAAAAGCAAGCAAGGCTAGCACAGACAGTAAAAAAAAAAAAAGAGAGATAGACTTAGAGAAAAAAATGCTTTGAAGTACACAGGCTTATTATTTGATTTGTAAATAAGATGAAGCTCTCTCCACCCAGGTTATGAAAAGTAAAAATTGTCATGTATGGGTAATTGATGGTGACAGCTCTCGCATACACAGTGTAGGAGGTGGTGCTATTGTTTAACGTGCCCTACATGTGTAGATAACAAGTTAGGCTCTCATGTTTGCCTACAAATTGTTGCTAAGCATTTTTTATACCCTTCATATTGATACTTCTGTTGTCTCTTGGTTTCATCTCTATTTCCTTTTAAGACAAACAAAAATAGAATATCCTGCAACCTCCAGCTGTATCTTGCTGTATTTCAAGCTAATATGGATTCAAACCCAGGGGATGCCTCAGGAAATAGATATTGGATGGATTTAATACACTTGATTTTCTTTTTTTTTCCTTTTCTTTTTTTAAATTTGGACTTCTCAGTCCCTGTTATTGTTTTCCAAATTCCAATCCCTGAAAAAGTAATTTGAAATTGATCTTGGTTTCACCTCTGTTAACATCACCAAGACAATCCTGTTTCTCGACTCCCACATCTCACGTACTCAGTGACCTGGTGAAGTGCTGCCTTCTCTAGATTTTATTTCCCTACATTCTGCATATGCTCAGTGCTGGCAGAAAGCATTTGTGAGTTGGAGAAAGGAAAAGCTGCTGATGAACACTCAGTGTCTGCAGAGTGCTGCTAGAGGTGAACCCAAAATACTGACCCAGATCTGAATGTCCCTAAAATTTCAGTGTCTTTATGTTAATGGGGTTTTTCCTCCAAGAATCCCAAGCACAAATGACAAATATAAGTGTAGTATAGAGTTAGACTTGAGGAAAGCAGAGGGAACTAATATTTTACACACAGTTTAGCTTTGCATTTCTCAAAGGTTTTTTGAAAGTATCTGTCCAAAGAGACTTGACCTTCCAGGAGGATCACAGCTGGGGAGACTGCTTCCTCATGCCAAGGGATTAATAAAGGTTCTGCTTGCCCACCTCCTCATTGCTCTATATGGCACAGATTTGAAAGCTTTAATTAGAAGTGCAAGAGGGTGAGAGGATTATTAACATTCCTACTGGGAAACCAGTGCCTTTTAATAAGTTTTCCCAGTCAGAAAACAATCTTCCTTCAACAGCTTTTGGTCCCCAAGATCAACACTCTTCCAGCAGTTCAGGAGGTTAGGGAGGACACTGAGTATCAGGTAAGGTCTGGTCCTAAATGTCTGCCCACAAAAAAAGGTCTCAGTGGTGGAGGTAGAATGGGCTCTCCAAATAAATGCTGACAGCCAGCTTGCAGAGCCACTGTTCTTGTGGCTGGGATAAGCCAGCTGAAGAGGAACCTGCTGTCTAATTCAAGAAAAGCAGCTGAAAGCCAGCAAAGTATTAAAATACTCAGAAATCAGAGGCGGGAAGGAACAAGTGGTATTGGCCAAGGAAAGCTATAAACCATCTGACTATGGAAGAAGGCTACTTGGCTCAGAGATGCTTTACTGTTTCCTCCACTTATTGTTGCCTTCCAAAGTGGATTATCATACTCCCTAAATGCCCTAATATTTAGCTCCTTCCCTTTCTTTATATGACTCGTAAATCACATTATGCCTGTATGATTTAAAAAAAAAAAAGAGGAAAACTTCACAAGAAGGGAAAAATAATCATAATTCTATAATGTTAACTTATATCACAGAAAACTGTGTACATTTTTTCCCCATACAGGACATACTTCAAATAAAATAATTTTAACACCAATAATGATAATGTTCTTTCTTCCCGACAGAAGTAGAATTGTTTTCTCACCCCAGTTTGATACATAAATATAAGAAAATAGTCTTTGAATATTTACATCCACGTGTTTTAAATGTTATTTCTTGATATATTTAATTTTCATTTTCTCTCCAACCACGGGCATTCTTTCCAAATTTATATACTAATCTCCGACCATCCACACGCTCAAGGATTTCTCTTTTGTAATAGTATCTGTTAAAATAAAAACAGAAAAAGATATAAGAGTAAATTCAGCTATGGTCCTAAAAGGCCACTGCCAACTAGACAATCCCTTAGACTAGCTTAAAAAGTCTTGATTTTCTATTGAGATATATATATATATATAATATCTAAGATCATTATAACTGAATGACAGAGAAGGAAAATTGATGTTTTCTTTTTCCTTTATATTAATTAGCTTCTGAGTTTAAATTTTACTGTGTTTCAGGTCAAAGCATACTGCTGTATTTATCACACACTCTTACGAGTTTTCACAGGGTTTTTTTCCAGATAAGCCAGGATCTGAAAATCAGACCAGAAAAGAACCTCAACACCCTTTTAAAAATATATTTTGAAGTTTCAGAGATTATGAAAAAATTCTCAAAATGTTGAATTAAAGAGTAAAGAAAATCCTAACACCAATTTTAAGACAATGAATGGTGGGTTATACCTAGTTTCTGAATGTTGCTGGAAATAACAAGGTCTCCAGCCATTACTAGGCCATTTAAACATTCTCAGGTTTCTGCAACCATATTCCCTTCCTACATTGGTTGTCTGGATGGAGCCAAACAGAATTTACATATCTATAAGCAATTATTTGTGTTTTATATATCATATATTTTACAGAAACAGGAGAAGAAAAGAACATCGTGCTACAATCTCAAAACTGGTGTAAGAGACTGTCAAAGAAAGCAAATTCTGCTGTTGAGAAATCATTTTTAAAAGTCAGACAAATCCTCCCTCCAGCTGGTCTGTGTATGTGCCACAGTCTTCCTCAGCAACATGCAGCTCACCTCATAGCCCGGCTGAGTTTCTCATAAGTCATGCTGCTGTTGTTTTTCTTCTTTCCCCACAGCTGAGCCACAGCTTCAGATTTTAAAAATCTGAAGACACCCTCTGACCGGTCTTCCCACTTGATTAATCCTGGGTTTTTCTCAGGATTGAGAAGAATATCTCGAATAAATTCCCAAAGATGAGTTCCTCGAGGGTCTGAAAAAGGAAAGAGGGCAGGAAGGAGTGTCTCCAGAGCTCTCTGGGCTATTTTTATGTCATCTACAGAGGGTGAACACTCAGGCCATAGTTTCTGGAGCACAGGACCCCCACCTCAGAGATATACAGGTGAAAAACACTGGCAGCCTTTCGACTGCAGCATTGGCCTCAGGCAGGCAGGCAGGAGCCCCAGCAACCAGGGGAAGCAGAGTCCAAACCTCCCACCGCTTCCTTCTGCCTTTGGCGCTGTTTCTGCCCTAAAGAGAACATGTTTAAGCCTTCCCCTCATCTCATTTGCCCATTTCTCCTGATCTCTGTCTACAGCACAGCATGTAACCTGATATTATTGTGTGGCACATGAAACAGCTGAGATTACTGTGAAGAAGGCACCGAACCTCCTTGCATTTAAAAGATAGACAGAAGGCACAGGAGGTGAACTGCCATTCTGCATGAATAAGTAAGTAAGAAGGTGTAGAGTGGATAGAAAGACAGTGACAAAACTGGCCAGCCAAAACTGTGTCTAAAAAGGAAACCAAAAAGTTTGACCATGGTGTAGAAAAGATGAAAACAGATCTCCAAGTTCAACAGGTAGATCTCTCAGTTTAATCACAAATACGTCTTGCAGTTACTATAAAGATAGCACCAGAAAGTCCAGGTCAAAAAAAAATTAAATAAATCCATCAAGTCAGATGAAGTAGTTTACAAATGAAGAATAACAAACGCAGTGACAAGGTGAGCCAGAGAGACAGCAGTCCTTTGGTCTGACTTCAAAAGCATGCAATTAGACCAAATTAAGAAGGAAACAAGCTAGTCAAAGATGTGAAGGTAACTTGAAAATGGTATGCAGTGCAGTATAAGTAGAATTAGATTTAAGTCAACTAATCCATTATTTTTCTTTATTATTATAATTGTTTCCTGGACCCATTAAAATGTGGTAGACTATCTGGACATCAGTAACTTATGGTCATGATATGGAACAGTACTGAAGGAACTGGAAATGAAGAGGATTAGCCCAGACTGCCAATGTCACCTGTTTTATACGCCCAGTCCGTTACTGATGAGATGTTAGAATCACAGAATATCTCAAGTTGAAAAGGACCTATAAAAATTACCAAGTCTTACTCCCTGCTCCTTGAAGGACATCCCAGAACTAAGCAATATGACTAAGAGCATTGTTGAGACACTCCTTGAACTCTGTCAGTCTTGGTGCTGTGATTGCTTTCCTGGGGAGCCTGTTCCAGTGCTTGACCACCTTCTGGGTGAAGAACCTTCTCTGTTGTGCAGTCTAAACTTTCCCTGGCACACTTTCACTCCATTTCCTCATGTCCTATTACTGGTCACTAGACAGAGGAGATGAGCACCTCCACCTCCACTGCCCTTCCTGAGGAAGCTGGAGACTGGGATGTATCAACCTTCAGCCTTCTCTTCTCCAAGCTGAACAAGCTGACAGACCTCAGTTCTTTTCAGGACTTTCTTCAGACCAGTCCTGTCTAATCCTTTCACGAACAACCTTATTATATACACACACACACAAAAAAATCCCGATGACCCAGATATCTGTGTACAGATATAAAATTCAGGAGTTCTGCTGGGGCAAAGTGACAGAACAAGAGTAAGAAGAGTCAGGAAGAGACTCTGGAGGTCATATTGAAAAAGGATGAACACAAATACCACAAAATGCAGTGAAAGACCAATACTAAGCTTTCCTATTATAATCAGGGAAATAAATAGGATGGAAAAGACACACATAGGATGTTTTCAGCATCAAAACATCCTGGTAAAGTACGTAAATGGAACTATGTACAGAAATCACAATTATGGCATCTTGTCTTCAGAGTCAGGTTGAATAAAATCTTGCAGAAAATGTAGGTGAGGGGAGTGGAGAGACTGTCATATCAGGGGATAAGAAGGTGGCAAGACTGAGGCACAGGTGCCTGCTTGTGGTGTCGTGCGTGAGAAGTTCTGCAAGGAGATGCTGAGCAGGGTCTGTGGTGTGTGCTGCACCTGGCAGGCACAGGCACCAGCATGACTGTGCCCACGCACAGGCCCTTCTGATTAAATCCTGGGTCTTCCTCATCATTCCTTTACTCCACTCCACCAGCCCAGCTCAATACAGGGCAGAGGAAGCTGGTTTCTGGTTGCTTCCCCATAGGCCCTCACTGATAAAACAATTTGAAAAGTTAAACAATATGGAGTCCAAAAATGAGGTAAACAAGCAGTACTAGATAGTCAGATCCTTTCAGAATTCATTCACAATAATGATTTAACAAGTTTTGCGTTCAAATTGCTTCCTCTTCCCTCCCAAATAGGATCTGATTTTCATTTGTTTCTTTTTCCTTCAATCAACTAACCAACCCTTATAAGCATGGATGTTGACTTACTGTGCTTCTTGGTGTGGGACTTTGGGGTATGATCTTGCGATTTTTTTGCATCTGAAGAGTCTGCAGAGAAGGAAAATGAAGCCTATTTGTAAATTTGATTAAAGGCTTTCCATTGACTAGTAGGTTGAAAGAAATAAAACCACAAAAAAGAACAAATATCTCCTCTAAAGATAATCACTTTTCGGAAGGTAATCTAAGTGAGGAGGGAGAGTTTTGTTTTCTGTACTATATGTTAATCAGCACACTTCTCAAAGAGACCACTGATGAATAAAGAATGAATGCAGAGGTAAACATTTGGCTTTTGAAAGCTAAATTTGATTAACAAATACTTCACCTCATATTGTGTGTGAGAGAGAGAAAAATAGGATGATCACATCTGTAAAAGGAATCCTGAATTGTCCCATTATCTTAGTCTTTGCTGAAGCACGTATCTTTGGGGGCTTATTTGTTTCTGAAGAGATGATCTAATGGGAAATGTATGTGCTGGTACCAATGCACAGAACACCTACCTGACTAAAACATAATGAACTGGCAAAGCGCTGTTGTTTAGGGGGGCAGGGTGGGGGAAAGGGGCTGCGCTGGTAGGAGTTTTTGGCAGCAGGACAAGCATATATTTCTCTGTGGCTCAGAGCCATAGAAACAAGCCATTTCTCATCAATGGTACTTTATCACCAGCAGCCAGCCAGAGGAGAAATAGGATTTCTGGCACAAGCATTTCTTCAGAAATGAAAAAAAAATAAGTTCCGCCTGTTCATGACTGTAACCTACCTAGCAGTCTGCACGTTAAACCCTCCCGCCCCCAAACCACCGCAGCCTGGCTCTGCTCTTGTACTTAATGAATAGCTTTCATCTGATTGCTCTAAGTCTCACAAAATCTGTGGGATAGACCCGAGAGGGAGCCCCTTCTGTGTTTGCTTTTCAGCATACCTTGTCCCTGAATCCCATAAAGCAAAGCTTAAGGTCCCACGCATGTTTTCCCAGCTTCTATGAATGCACAATTATCATACTTTTCATGGAAACCAGGCATTTGCATGGGAAAATGACTCACAGGAAATATTTATTTGCATAGAAACTTGTCAGATTTGCACAAGCTACTGCAGTAACTGCATGTGAAAAGGTAGATGCAAAGTTATTCACACACTTGCTTTATTCATACATAACTGGAAACATAAGCTGAACAAGACCGTGGGGATAGGCCTAACCTCTGCTATTCTAAGACTGATAAATTACTGTCCTTGACGCCCAAGCAGCAAACGTGCTCTGAGTCATTTTGCCTTCCCACTCTCAAAGAGCAGGAACTAGCCTGAACCTCACTCAGCTTGGAGGGGGGTGTGGTATGGGGGAAGTAAGATGAGGCTTATTTCACTGCCTTTCCTCAGATTATTATTCCCCATATGTTATTAAAAGCCTGTGGGAACCCCAGGTAACGACTGCAGGACCCAGTTCTTTATTTGCCCTCATATAAATCCTTCTCATTTTAAAATCCCACAATTCGCTTGCAAATGTTTGTTATGCTCCACTTAGCTGGAAATTTATTCTTGGAAGTTCAGCTGCCTTCTGCCTAGCCAATGATTTATTCTGGATTTCAGCTGTGTAAATAGCCTCCCGCTCTGCCACAGCTCCTACGTGGAGACTGGTTTCAAACATGCCATGTTAGGAGGCTGGGGCCTGACAGATGAAAAGAGTTATGATGCAGTTTCAACAAAGCCGTCTTGCAAAACTTTTGACAAAAGGTTACACATTATTTGCATATGATTCAGGAATGAGCCATTTTTTTACGGGATATACAAATTTAGTTTTTACAGGAGGCTGTGCCCTTGGCGTGCCACCCTAGCTCTAGGCTTAAGCAGTCAGCAGATAAACACACCGTGCCGGGATCTGGACAGGTCCCCAGCCCTGTCAGAGAGCCCTGAAATCTTGGTAGCCATCTTGTGAGAGTGGGTGGAGGTGGTGGAGAAAGATAGGCTGTTTGGTTGGGGATTTTTAAGGTTTGGTGATTTTCTTATTCTGGTCAAGTTTTCTCCCTCTGTCCTTTTTTTTTTTGGGGGGGGGAGGGGGGGAGGAGGCGTTGTTTTTTTTTTGTTTGGTTTGGTTTTTGGGGTTTTTTTGTTGGTGGTTTTTGTTGTTTTGTGTTTTTATTGTTTGTAATTCTGTTAATTTGCTACTTATTTTTGTTAATTTAATTAATGCAGCTGAGTGCATTGGTTTAAACTGTATGTCACTTGGCCAGTCCAGCTCAGGAGGCTGGAGGAGCAGGGGACGGCAGGCACAGGGGCTGGGGCCATGGGCACATGCAGAAGCACAGGGCTGTCCCCAGAGCAAGGCATGACTACAGCAACACACTCTCCTTTCTCCTCCCAGGACCTCCAGTGCCTTCTCCCTCAGATCTCTGCTTAACAACCTCCTAAGAAGAACCTGCCTTCCCTCCCCACTTTCTCGCTCCCCTGCCACCTCTGCTTTATTCTTTCCCCACTGCCTCGCTCTCCCGCCTCCATGCTGGTGCCAGGACAGGGCCCACAGGGCCTTCACCACGTGTGATCAGACTGCACTTTGGCCAGGCACAGCTTTGCTGTGTCTCCTGCCCTTCAGCAGGCAGATTTGAGCTCTCCCTCACGGAAGGCAGGGGGTTCAGCGAGCATCCCGTGTCAGCCCAGAGAGGCTGCAGCACAAGCCTTGCGCCGGCTCGTTCGGGCACAGGGCTCGGTGCCTGCCCTGCAGCTGCCCCAGGCCAAGCCCAGCCCGGCCCCAAAGCCAGCAGCCTGCTCAGCATGAATCACGGGCTCACCGGGAGCACGGCCGCTTTGGGGAGGAATGGGGCACTTGTTTGCCCCGTGTGCTGCACCTCAGAAAAGCGTGGTGTAGCTGGAATGTCTTGTATCTCTGACACTAATGTTTACCTCTTTGACTCAGTCACTTTAAAAGATATGTGGAGATTACAGATTATTTGATCATCTTCCTCTTGACAGAGAGAAGACAGAAGCATTTCTTTCAAGAAAGCTATTGTAATAATGACAGCTAATAAATCTGTCAGAATCATCATTGCTTGGTTTAAAATTACTGGAGGCTCAGATGCAATCCTACAACAGAAGACCACAGAGACTATTACATGTCGGTAGCTCTGGGACAAGTGACAAACAATTAAAAATATAATTACAAGTTTCTTACCAGAAGATTGGTGACTAGGTGCCATCATGGAAATCTGAGCACGACAGAATGTTTTACTGTCCAATAACTCTGGGAATTAAAAAGAAGACGTTTAAACTAATAGACTCAGACAACAATAAAGCCATCTCAGAATACATGAAGTATTGTGATGTTAGTTACCTACTGTGCTACCATAGCCACTGTCATAAAGATAATTCTCTTCTTTCCAGGATACCATTAATGATGGATCTGAAGGTAAAGGACCAAAAAGAAAATGAGATCACCAAAAGAACATTTTTCAGCACAGGGGTAAATATTGAGCACTGAAAGAATTTAAAATGTGAAAAAAAGAAGGAAAAAAAAAAGCTGTCAAGAGAACCAAGAAGTGAAGGGGCTATGTACAAAATTATTTCCTTTCACTCAAATTATGCATGGAGTTTTGCATATTCAGGCAAATGCATTTACACAAAGCACTGACTTTTAGAAATAATGTATTATGCTCTTCCTTTTCCTGACTAGTATGTCATTTATGCCTGGCCTTGGAGGAGGTTTCCTATGCCAGATCAACTCTAATTCTACCCAATCCAGACCTGAATTCTCAGCCCCTGATGATTATGACAGTGCGTTGGAGCCACAGAGATGAAAGTGTTTTCAAATATCTAGTAAAAAAGAAGGATGCTTATGATGAGTGTTTATTTCTACAATGGTAGAACTCGAAAGTCCTCTCTGAAGCACAGCTTATTGTTTAAGCACATAGGGAGAAACATCAAAGCCTAATCCTAGATGAAGGGCCATTTTATTCCAGGCACACTATGTCCCCATCCTTAACCTAAAAACCACCTTCATGATTAAAGAGGAATAATTTTTAGTGACCTTCTGGTCACATGGATCAATATAAGCAGAACGGAAGTATTATCTTTATGACCTGTACACTGGTCTGGAAATTACTTCCTTCACAGTGCATGTTTAAGGTCAGAAGCCTTAAAAATCTCTTTTTCTTTTGAAACCAGGTCAGAAGGGATGAGATAGAAGGTTCAAATCTAGGTTAAACCTAATTTTTTTCATGTTCATATAAATGAAATCAAAAACCCCAAAATGAATTACAGCTAAATAATCATGTTTGGCCAAGTTACCACTTATGACATAGGAATTTAGCAGGCATGCTAACTAATAGCTGCATGTTTGGGCACCCAGAGTTTGCGTTCCTACAATAGCACACACCCTTTGCTTGCTTGGACACCTGATCTGCCTAATGTTGCCTCTGAAAACAGGCCTTACACAGCCGGAACATGGGGAAAGTGTTCACCTTTGTTCATTTTGCCCTTTTTCAGTACCCATGTCTTTGCAGCTGTGACGATTTACTGGAGTGAGCCGGGCTTCCCCTCAAAACCACCAGCCCTGTCCCTGCTACCTCACAAGACGTAACTTTCCCAGCAGCTCTAATCCACAATTCCTGCTCTCTCACATGCAGAAACTTAACCCACTCCAACTGGCCATGGTTGGCACCACCAGAGGCCCACCAGACCATTCCTGATTCCGCACATCCAGGAGAACCACCTGCCAGTTAGTCCTTTCCAAGATGGGCAGCTGAGGTGCTTTGCCTCATCTCTGGTAGGAGGAGGAAATAATATCATACCAGGATCTCATAAATCAGGACTTAAAGGATTACTGGAGTTACCTCTATGGAAAGCAGCAAGGCTGCCTCATGCACATCTCCCACAGCAGGAGTGGATTGCAGATTGCAATCCTTGCCTGCTGCAAGGAGAATGTGGAGAGGCTGGGCTCCAACAGGTTAAGTGGATAAACAGGCTGACAATATTTGTTGGAGACACCACATGCAACAGATCAGTATTTTTTCTGCCAGCAGATATCAAAATGTGGCTCATGGGCACACCATACAAAGAGGCTGGGACTAGTGGGACAGAGAGTGTGGATATGGACAGGCATGATCTGGCAAAGGAACAAGGCAAATAATTGTGCCTGAAGAGGACGGTTGAATCAAGCTCAAGTTCTTTTCTCAGTTGAACAAAGCCCTGGGAGGAAAGGGATCTAGCTATAAACACACTCAGAAAGAACTGCAACAGCAAAAACGCAGATTTGATCAAACGAAACTACTGCCTGAATTTCAGTTTCATTGAAACCTGTGAAGAAAATGTAACATTTAAAATGTAACATTTTGTTTTCTCTCCAAGCTGGGTTTTGGAAATCTCCTTGTGTTTCAAACATTACAGCACTTCACAACAAAATATTTGTTCTTCCTTTCTTTCTTCCTTTTTATTTTTAATGGAGCAGATTGTTAAAATAGTTGTTTCGAAATCTTTTGAATGAAGTGTAGAATGAAGTTCTCTACAAAGCTGCTTCCATGGAGCACCTCAAATTATTCCAACTTTGAACATCAGTGTAGACTGCTGATACTGCAGAGGTCAGGTCTCCCAGGAAAAGAGGCCACATGCATGTGGTATTGCCTGCAACTTCAGAAGTAGGCCCGGACTGACATGTGTATTGCTTCTTTAATTCTGCATTATACACTTTCCATTTTATTTAATGCCACTTTGATTTGTCTCCCTTGGAAGAGGGATCCCCTCTTTTCAAACGACAATTTACTCAACTGCTACTCACCTGTTTGCTCTGTCTTCACAATGACATTATGAGATTGGTACATGTCACTTCCACACTGACCTGCAAGAAAGCAAATTGGCAGATGGGAAGTATGAGAATGAGCACAGAGAAATCAAATGTATTAGCTCCAAGCAGCAACTTCTACACCTGAGCCAGAGGGCTGATTTTGGAGTAGAAAACAAACTCTCCTCTTCATCCTTCAGATTTCTGCCTTAAGTCATATCCAAGAAATTTAGCAATACCATAAATATGCTATAAGCAGAATAGCAAACTTAGCAAGTATAATCTGCCAGGCAGGCTTCTGGGGAACATAAATGGCTTCTGAAGATCTCAGAATTCAGACTAATGTACACATGTCTCTCTCTAGTATTTATTTACCATTCCATTTTAGGTGCTGGAGGTTGCTGTAAAGCAGTTGTCCTGCTGTCCCAGCTGCCTGAGTGAATTCCTGCAGGCTCATACTACACAGATGTTCCCCATTGATATCAAACTCCTGGAAAGGTATGCAGTTGGCATCCAGTTGGTTGGTATCAAGGAGGTGTTGCAGCCACTCCCAGACTTGAAACTTAGTCCAGTACTGTGGGTGTATTTCGTGCCACTGGGTTCCATAGAAGCTACTGGATACTGGAAAAGAAAAAAAAATATTTACTGTCTCTGATAGCATAATAGTCATCAACAATAAGATCTACAGCCAAATTGCATGTCTTGGAAGTCTGCAGATCTAGATGCTTTTCTCAGGCCTTAAGACTGGCTCAGTGGCTATTGCTGGAGAAGATATTGTGGAGGTTTTGGCCTCAGTTTTCCAACTAAAAATTGGGCATTATTTCATTACACACTTCTTGGCTGACTGATTTGCAGGAATTAACTTATTAATGTTGGCTAAATACACCAAAGTTCTCTGAGGGAAGATAATTTACAGAAATACTGTTGAAAAGGGATGTGTAGGAAAATTACTTTTTTGCATCAGAAAATGATGGAAACGCCTTGCAAAACTCTCACAAGGAGACGTGGAAACTTTCTTTGAATACGAACTTAGTAGGGGCTAAATATTAATTATGAGGTTAGGAAAAAGAAAGTTAAAAGCACTCTCATACTATTCCACAGTAAAAGCCTATCAGTGTGGGCCATGGTTCCATGACAGAGTTGGCATTCTGATGGTGCAGATTATTGCTGTAGTCATGTAAGGGGGTTTCTGAATGTAGTTATAGAACTCATTTTTAGCTATGGGAGCTGCCTAATTTTCTTGTTAGAATGTCTGAGTCTTTTCTTGGCAGTCTCCTTAACTGCTCTCAGTTGTATGTCATTGCACGACAGTAATTTGCATGTGCAAATGGAAGAAATTCTACATGGGACAGGATCATTATGTAAGATAAGAGCAAAGGCAGGATTGCTTTGGTCTGTCCTCACAGAGTTCAGTGCAATTTATTCCCTGGGAAAGGAGGAAAATGGACTATGCCAGACAGAGGCAACAGTGAGATAAAATGTTCACAAGTGCAAGAAGGGTTTAAGGCTGAGGGAATGAGAGATTACAGAGGGAGGAGAGACTGCCACGGCCTAGCTCTGCAAGGACCTCGCTCCAGGATATGGCAGCAGTCTGTTCCCAGTCTCCTCTAGAATAAAAATAACCACACAGTGAGAAACACTGTCAGCAATGGATATTGCCAGAGCACCACAAGCACAAGAATTAGCACATTTTAGGAAATCACCTTAACTCAGGTGCACTAGACCTCAGGCTTCTTCAGCTGAGGTACAGGACACAGTTTTCAGGTAACACAGAAACAATACCCACAGTTATTTAGCTTTCTTTATCAATATTAGCCAACAAGGCATGTGTAAGTAACTTAGGGAGTTTGCAGGACTGTTCCTCATCCTACTATTGAAGGATGTGGGGAATGAGTGTGGAAATTATTTAAAATGTAGTATGTCAGAGAAAAAAGGTATGCTGGAGCTGTCATATATCCCCTGAAAAGGAGATTGATTTGTATTCTTATCACTTCAGAAGAGTAAAGTGATTTCAAAGGCCATAAGAATCCTAATGTTAGCAAAGATACTTTTGTGAGAGGAGAAAGTAGCTTAGGTAAAAGTAAGTTTAGCGGTGAGTTACTGGGCAGGCTGGTCTGAGCTTTGAGATTCCTGTCCCTCTAAAACATTAAGTGAATCCTGAGGAGTTTTACCCTGCAACTTGGATATAGACCTCCACCATTTGCCTCCACAAAATCCTATGGAAGAGTGAAACTCAGACGTTACTTTTTTTGTGTATGACACTGTTAAGAAAAACAAGCACATTTATTAAGCACATGTTGATGTATTCCTGTGTATTTAGAAATTACACAGCAAAAAGAATAAGCATTTCATTAAGTGGGAATTTTAATTGTAAGGTTTGTTGTAGTATTATTTGGATCAGAAGGACAAGAGTAGCATATGATTGTCTGCTTAGATTTTAAGTTTTACCTGTCCCTTGAATAATGAAAAGAATTCTAAAATTATGTCAAGCACCTATAGAGATACAGGCTTATATCTTTTTTTTATACTGAGAGAATATATATGAATACATTTTTATATACCCAGATATGTAATCAGAAAACAGTAAGGAGAAATAAAGAGAAAAAATCATAAGCCACAAGCTACCTAGTGCTCTAATGCCAGTCTAATTAAAAAGCTATCTAGAAATTTGAATCAAAAAAGCAAATACAGCAAAGCAGTAAAAATATTATTCCCCTGGAAAGCCAGAGGGGTGATTAGCATTAAAAAGTAATGTTGGTTCAGAGAAAGCACGAGGGGTAAAGGTACGAGAGAAAGAATTCTGGACTGAGCGAGAACTGGCATTTTCAACACCATTAAATTTCAAGAAAGAGAGCCAGTAAAGAAATGAACAATAAACTGGTCCCTATTGTAAGTTCAGCTTTTTACAAATATAGTAACAAATGAAATTTTTTCTTACCAGAAGTGAAACTCCGGTAAATTAGTACTACTGAAAAATAATACTTGTACACACTTAAAGGTGTAGCAGCCCCTTTCCCCTGGCTTTATTCCCAAAAATACTGCCCAGAGCAGTTCAATTCTTCCTACCATTGCACGTGGAATATCCGTCTGTCCAGGAAGGCTGCTGGTGGAGTAGATTGCTGCTGGAATTGATACTCATCCTGCCAGCTCCTTCCAAAATCATGATCTGTAAGTGAATCAAACAGCTTGCTTAGTGAGCGGTGTCTAGTCCAAGAGGTAAATGGCAAAAAAAAAAAAAAAATCCACTGAAGGTGAAGCAAGGAGGCCAATTCCATTTGTAGAAGAAGATACAACTGAAATCAAGAACATGTTGACACAACCCCTTTTCCACTGCCACAAAATCTCCTTATGATAAACATTACCATGATTAATTTGCATACGCAAGAAGCAAGTTTCTACAGCTGCCCATCCATAAATGAATAATCTGTAATCAGAAAAGAAGCCGAATGAAAAGACAAGGCTTCTGACAGAGCAATACATGAAAACTGCCAAGCTTTGAGAAATTAAATACTAAAGAGTTTTACTTTTTTTTTCTGCTTTAAAGAGAAATGTGATTTAAACAAGTTCTTATCTTTTTTTTCTCTTTTTTTTTTTTCTTTTAAGAGAGAGAAAGAACTTTCCAATAATTGCAAATGAAACTATACAGTAGACTGCAAGCCATGCTCAGAAAATCCTTCACACAGAAGGATACCAAAGTGTTACAGGGAGGTAGACTTACAGGGAATATCTTGTCAGCTGACCCAGTTTCTTATCTGATCTGTGTCAGCAGTGTCTATAACACTTCTTGGTAACAAATATCACAGATCATACATTTCAACCCACCAAAAAAATCAGATGGTCAAAGATCTTGTAAATGAGACAGCCATTCTTGTGGCTGTCTGTACAGAATCAATATAGTGGAATGACAGCACCCCCAAGACAGCATTCCCTCTTTTAAGCAAACTTTCCTTTCCATGTATCTTAGCATTAGCACCATGAGTAAAATTGTCCTGTACGTTTTTAAACTTTAAAAACAAAAAACCCAGTTGTATGACATTCTAGAAAAAAGTTACATTTATCCCATGTTTAACCATTCCAATGAAAGTATACAAAATTCCTCAGTGAGGGGTACTCTTGACATTTTATATTATCTTTCAGTGGTGTGAAGTTGTAAAGCTTAAAAATATATATAATAACCAAAGATATTTGTGAGGACATCGGAAAAGTAGTTTGTTAAACATTACAAAGGCTTTGGGTTGTAATTCTTATTTACGCAGGGGGAAAAAAAAGAAAACCAAACCCCTGTTCAAAAATATTGAAAGCCGCTAAGTCTGTAAAAACAAAACATTAGACATCAGGATGGCATGTGCATGCAACTAGACTTCACCCTAGAATTAAAAAGGTTATGAAATACAAAATAGACTTGCGAAGGGTAAGGTCACTGGTCTTGGCTGTTTATGCACTGAGGCCAGCGAAAAACATCCACTGAGAGCACATCTGTACCCCCTACAAGCTGATGCCCAGCAACCTTTTTGATAAAAGACAAGGAGTCAACAGAAACACTTACAGCCTTAGTTTTAAAGGAGCAGTCTGAAAATTACCCGGATTGGTATTTTCCTCTGTCATTTAAAATAAACCATGTAACTTAAAACTTACAAGTATCTATTTCTTCCCCCTCCTCCCTGCACCCCCCTACCCCCAATAGGTATTAGAGAGGGAAAGGGAGAGAGGTTACTGACAATTGCCTAAAAAGCCAAAGCCTTAGAAAGTTCAAGGAAATTTATCACAGAGAATGGTGCTTTACAGTATAAAGCAGTTTAGGGCTTTTTTTTTTGTAGATACACAGAATGGCAAAATCAAACCATGGATGATTTGTCAGTCACTTTCCACTTTTAATTCTAGCCAATCTGTGATTCAGTGAACACTAGCAAGGAGGATTTAATTTCTCATAGTAGATATATCAGGTTATAAAATATTAACAGTTGAGAGAGATTGTTCTTGTGCCATTCTGGCCAAATGAAAGGTGATTATCACATCAGTCAGTACATTTATACAAGTTAGAAGACTTTTTTCAGCCCTGTGTAAAGGCCAAATGACTTATTATTGTGAGTGAGAAGGTGTGAGGAAGAATTTGAATTCAATCTCATTATTATAAACATGTTCAGCCTATAACACATATAAATTATATACTTGACATGCAAGAACTTTTAAGCAATAACGTATGCTTGACAGTCAATACATACACTTCTGAGGCTATAAAGGTTGATGATGTATCAAGTTATTTCTTTAAAGTTGGTTTAAATTGTTAAAGACAATTAGGTATGAATGAATCAAATATTAATGAAAAAGAGCTTATTACAGTATCAAATAGAGGTGAGGTAAAATACCATCTACTCTAGGAAAACACACTTAGAAACTTAGTTTGTTGAATTCATTTCTTTTTAAAAAATTATAATATGCAATTCATAACTTAAATTCATTGAACTGAATTCACAATTTCAGAAGCTATCTCAGAATTAAAAGTACTGTGTTATGTGGTTTTGTATTCCGCAACTTCGGTAGTTTCTGGAATTCTACACATAATTCCAAACTTGTGCAAAAGGCTTACAAGTACGTCTGGGAAAGCGTACACATGAACTGAAATTATTTCTGTGTAATTTAGTCCTGAAAATTCAGTTAATTTTTTTCTTCTTCATAACTAATCAGGTGAATTTCCAAACTAAAAGATCCTATGACACTTTTATTCAGCAACTGAAGCTATGGATAGTTAAATAAACCAAATCATGTGTTTTGCACAGTTTTTCGACCCTAGCAGTAACTAAAGCCAATGCACATTAGAGATCTGAAAAGAAGAACTTTGACAGCCTCTTCCTGAGATCTGGATTTTAGTTATTTTCCTTTAAAATGTCCTCTCCCTGTCGCAGTCTAGCAGACAATTGCCCTTCACCATATCCCTGAACATTAACATTATTTTCAAACAATGTCCATGGAACTTGCTTTACAATTTAACTAATCAATCATTCCAGTTTGGGAAGCTAAATAAATTATCTCAACCTCAATAACTCAATTAATTTCTAGTATCACCTGTAGGAGCAATTGTGCCTAAGAAGGAGAATTTACAATATGACATTAATCACAGAAGAAGGACTGGATTTAGCTTTTACCTAAACTTAGCCAAAGTTCTGTGTATTACTCAAGGAACAGGTTTTTTGGTGTCTTGAAAATTTTCCAGTCACCTCCTTTATCTTAATGCAAGGGTGTTCCTTCTTTGGAAATCATTCTAGCACTTTGTTCAGGAGGATTATAAAGTCCTACTAACAGCTTCCACACCTTTGCTTGGAAGCATACAGCATTATGCTCCACAGCAATATTTTCTGTATGAAAACTAAACTGGGATTTTCTTGATGTCATCCTATATGTGCCTTTCTTTGCTAAAAATTCATGGAAGACTAATGCTTATAGCAGTGGCTCATCCCATACTTGAAAAGATTCTGAGTCAGGATATTGGAACCAGCGTGTTCCTCATTAGTCCAGGGCCAAATGCTCAAATCTCCCCGGCATACAGACAAACCTGGTTAAAGGGTGTGAAACCTCAAGGGGAAGGACACATAAGATGTTCGGTTTTCTTTTAATTATATTCCATGTATCAAAGTGAATTGTGGAACTAATGAAGCCTTGTTTCCTATGAATGTGTATCTTGTGGTTGGATTCTCTAGTGTCTAGTAAGATGTGAGTGCTGATTGAAGTTTTTCCCACGGTTGGGGCATTCATAATATCTCATTGTCTCAAAGCAGTGAGCTCAAGCGTCACTCTTTCTTTCAGATCGAGTATTAATGGATTTTCCTTCGGTACTTGGCAGCCAGTTTTCATTAATCTTGTAAAGACTTCATATCTCTGGGACTTCTACCCCCATATCAAATTTAATTAAAATTGGTGATGAAACTCAAAGACTGTTACAGGCCATATGTAAAAGCCAAAACACAGAATTACCAGGAAAGCCTCATTTCCTCTGGAACCTGTATTAAAAGGGTCTCTAGCTGAGCTGATATTTTGTAAAATAAAATTAAAAAACCCTTGAGATCTTTCCTTCTACTAGGACATCGTACTTTTTAAATGAAAGCACGGATAAAATATCATTTGAGCATATAATCACATGTATTTTTATAGACATACACACACAAACGTCTATGTCTGCATAGCAGGTGTCTGTACACACAATCCCATTCTGTTCCCCTGAAGAGGTGCTGTCTCTGGAGCTATAACACTACGCAAACAACACTTTATTCAGCCAGCACAGTTAGATATAGCTGTGCACGGGTGTTCAGCAAAATTCCTTCCAGAGAGAGTCCTATTAGAAGGGATTAATGCATTTTAAAAAAAATCCTTCACCCATATTCATTATATCAGGTGGTATTTTAAGACCAAACCCTGAAGGTCTCTCTTAGTAAAAGCTCTCACTGGAGTCTGAAGGAGCTTTGGCTGAGCCACAACCCAGCAAGTTGGCGGTAGAAGCAGGTCATTTGCTCTGCTCTTCTTCTCTTCCATGACCACCTGACCACTCTGAATAAACAGCAGTAATGGAAAGAGCAAGGAGCCATGGCCTGTCTGTGGAGCAAATCCAGCATTACAGAAAAACATATTTACAAATCCTTGAACCTTGAACACTATATAGTGCACTCTATGCGAATTATTTTATTGCACTACAGGTGTGCTCTGAAAATAAATTACTCTGATCCCCATTTCCACATTCAACACAATGAATCTTAACAACCATGGAAAGAGTTTCTCCTTTCCTTGAACCAGAATCTTTTAAGAACAGCTTATATTAAATGACATGAAAATTCCAAACACAGGAAAGGCGAATAAGTGGTACAGAGAAAGTGACTGAATCCTGAAGTAGGACAACCAGAGTGATTGTTCTGATATCAATTTGTATCGCTGCTCATGGACATAATTCTGAAATGAACTAAGGGGGCGTGGAAGGGGAGCCCATAAGAGAAACAGGTCCACAGGGGAAGGGGCCCCCAGCCATCCCACCATCCCATGGTAAAGCCATGCACTCTGCTCAAAACACAACAACAACGTCTAGGGCAAAACAGACTGAAACTACTAAGCCATGACTCCACCTGTAAGCTATGCAAAGTCTAAGAGTGACTTCTAGCTGAGACAAGCTCAGTGCAGCTCCTC